TTTTTTTTTTTTGGCAGCTGACTGGTAAGGTTAATGACCCTATGATCTAATGTAGTAGGGCAAATGTGTGTATACTAGGGAGGGAAATAGGTACATATAAGAATTTGCTTTTTCACTGGTGGGTTGTAAAAAATTGGTTTTGGTCTCTTTATATTATAAGCATAATATTTAAATTATAGGTAAAGGTTTGAGTGTATTCCATTTTGAATGTAGACTGTTCCCTTTCTTTTGTACCTGGAAGTACTCTGTGGTCTATACATATTTTGTCCCTTTAAAAAAAATTTTTTTTTAATTTATTTTTTTGGCAGCTGGCTGTTCCAGGGATCTGAACCCTTGACCTTGGTGTTACAAGGTGGCTAAAAAATCCTTTTTATTATAGAAAAACTTAAACATATACAAAGTAAACAGAATAATGTGATAAATCCCCTTGTACCCATCATCTTGCTTTAAAAATCACTGACATGCTACTACTCTTTTATCATTATACCTCCACCCATTCCCCATCTTCCACTCAATAATTGTTTTTTTTTTTAGATAAAATTCATATATGTTGAAATGCACAAATTTAAGCTGTATAGTTACAACCATGTAACGTACAACATTTTTATCTCCCCAGACAGTTGCTTTGTATACTTTCCAAGTCAGACCCTGTCCAGCCAGGAAACCACAGTTCTCTTTAGTTTTGCCAGTTTTAAAATGTCATATAAATGGACTCATACATTATGCATTCTTTGTGTCTAGTTTTTCTTGCTCAGCATTATATTGGTGAGATTCATCGATGTTGTTGCATTCCTTTGTTTTGCTGAGTAGTAGTCCATTGTATGTATGTACCACAGGTGGTGCATCTGTTCTCTTAATCACGAACACTTGGTTCTTTCCAGTTTTTGTTTTTATGCTATGAACATTTATACACAAGTCTTTGGATAGACTTATATTTTCATTTCTCTTAGATAAATACCGTGAGTGGGATTGCTGGGTCAAAGGACAGATGCATGTTTAATTTGTAAGAAACTGCCAAACTTTTTTTCTAAAGTGGTTGTATCATTTTACATTCCCACTGGCAAAGTCTTGTTGCTCCATATTCTTGGCAACATTTAAATTGTCAGTCTTTTTAATTTTAGCTGTTCTGGTGAGTACATGTACATATTCTCTAAAGGAAATTAAAATAAATTTTATTTTGAGAATTTTCTGGCTTGTTGTGAGATAATCAGAAATACCCTGTACTTTGATGTATGTCTTAAGATCCTTTTAAAATTTGAACTGGAGTGAATGCTGATCAGGATAGTATCTCTAAAGCTCAGGATATCCTCACCCACTAATTCATGGCTAGAGTTTGTGAGGGAAAATTATCATTAATCCTTTACATCCATTTTAGCACCTACAGTTTCCAAAATATTTTTTCATGTATTTGTTGACAACAAATGTGGTTCCTATTTTATAAATGAAGGAATGAAGACTCAAGGGAGCTTGCCTAAGATTTGCCTAAGGTTTCAGGGACTGAAACTTAGAACTTCTGACTAGTCTAGTACTCTTCCATTAGCACCTCAGAATGAGTAACATACTAGAATTCAATAGATGAGTGTCTTAGGTTTGCAAGTTTAGATAAACCGATGGATATAAGAAGCTGTTTCTTGGAGGAGGTAGCTGGTAGGGACATCTCAATATTAGTTGTATTCCACAGAATGTAAGATGACCTTGAATATATACTAGTCATTGATTTGTTCTTTTTATGTGGTTTCTAAGGAATTCTAGAAATTGATTTAGTCCTTATAGCAGATCAGCTGATATGGTTGTAAAGATATTGTAGTTGGTGCCTTTCTGAGAACAAACACATTACTGAACATCCTAGATTTACATTTTGGAACTCTGCATATAATTTTCAGAACCCTTTTTGGGAACCCCTGTCTATGATTTCTAGAAACACCTCTTTCGACATTTAGGTGGTTTTAGCAGTGAATATCTGTCATCACCCACATTGTTGTTGTCAGGGGGGATACCATAGCAGGTAATCTGAACTGCATGGTTGGGATAAAATTCCACCAAAGTGAGTAATGTTTATGGCTTTCCAAAACAAACTGCAGTTAAATTTTTTCAGCAATAAATCTGCTTTTGCACCATTGTCAGATATTAATGTAAGTCATATGTTTGTTTTATTTTAGTGATGTCCTTGCATTGCCCATTTTTAAGCAAGAAGAGTCAAGTTTGCCTCCTGATAATGAGAATAAAATCCTGCCTTTTCAATATGTGCTATGTGCTGCAACCTCTCCAGCAGTTAAACTCCATGATGAAACCCTGACATATCTAAATCAAGGTTAGATGCTTCTTCCTTTATTAGTATTATTGCAAACCTCCTGGATTCATGATATTTCATTAGATACACTTATATGTAAAAAGTTAGATCTTTCTAGTGTGATCTGTCAAATTAGAAGCCTTACTTCAGCACCATGCTCTAACCAGCTGAGTTAACCGGCCAACCCCAGAAGCCTTACTTCAGAGATTTGAGTTTTAATATCATATTGGATATATATCACCGGCTTCTTTTGTCTACCTGCCCATTTTCAGTTCCCAGCCCTCTTTCTTTCTTTTTAAAATTTAATTTTATTATTTTTTTACATTCTAGGATGTTGTTGTGGAGCAGTTGGGAGGGAGGGGGAGAGGAGAAAGGGGAAGCAAATGAGATGAAGAAGGAGGAAGGAGGAGGGGCGGGGCTGAGGTCTGTGACACCCCCCACATTCCAACAGGGGAGACCAGGGGGCTTCCAGCAGTTGCTTGGTCATTGCTGGGCTGGGTGCAGATGTCAGGGTGGTGTGGCAGAAGACCTCGCTTCCCACCACTCCATCTCGGGAACTTAGGGCCCTTCGTGCTGTGGCTTGGTGGTCGTTGCTGGGCTAGTTGCACATGTCAGAGGAACGTGGCTGAGGCCCTCAACCCCATACCACTCTGGCTGGGGAGAGCCCGGGACACTTCCTGCAGTTGCTTGCTGGTCGTTGCTGCCCAGACCTCTCTCTCTAATCCAAGTTCCCTGGACATCCCCATTGATTACTGTCTGTGAAGTATTACCCTACCTAGCTCAATTATTTACCAGTCGTGTAGCCTCGGACAAGTTGCTTAAACTCTTTGAGTTTCAATTTCCTTATCTTTAAAATAGGATTAATAATACTTTAGAGAGCTGTATTATATTAATTAAATGAGATAATGTATGAAAATACTTAGCACAGGGCCTGTCATCTAGTAAAGGCTTATAGTTGTTCTTACTAATACTAATATTATTATACTCTTGTGTATTCAAACAACTAAATTTTATTTTTTCTGAATCTAGCAAAGTTAATTTGTGATGAATATAATACATAACTATTTTTTCTCCTAGGACAGTCTTATGAAATTCGAATGCTAGACAACAGGAAACTTGGAGAACTACCAGAAATTAATGGCAAATTGGTAAAGGTAAAAGAAAATGAATAAATCATTCTTCTGCACAATATCCTTTTACTGATCCTTTTTTGATTTTTTTCCCCTATTATATTTTTGTTTCCGTAAAGGGCTTGATGGTATCTCTCACCTGCCACAGTTTGCTGGCAGATTGGTAAACTGATGTGTTATTCTTTTGGGTTCAGAGTAAGCCCCGGTATTCAGGTGGATTTTTCAGAGCTGCATAAACAGGCATGGTAGTCCTCTGGCTCAGCGAGGTTCTTTTGGGTAGAGTAATCTTGAGATCTTTAGAGAGGTTTCAGTATCTCTTTGGACACTTGATATTGTAGCAAGGAAAACAGAAGTTGCTTTCTATGAGTAGCAGTTCTCTTTAGTCTATACTGACAGTAAGGATTTTGAGAATTCACAGCACAATCAGGACAGAGGAGTTTGTCAGCAGCTGTAAACATGGTGGGAAGGATTAACAGGTACCACTTGCACAAAGTAAGAGTAACAAAAGGGAAGTTGATGGAAATGGGCCTTTCTTACCGTCAGTGTTCACAGGTATATGGTGGGTTAGCAAGCAGAGGACTAGATGAGTTTTTCATATAAATCTGAAGAGCTGAGCTGGATATTACATGGTATGGCAGGAGAGGCATGTAGAAATGCTCCAGGTAGGATATCTTTATGACTCGTTGCAATTAGGACTGATGTTTAGGCCAGATTTTAAAGATAGTACTGGTTAATTATAAAGATTATAACTGAGAAATTGTAAAATTTATTCTGAAATAGAGCTAGGTGTACAGTGTGGGTTTTAGAGTGAAACTGGTCTTAAGAAAAATAATTTTAGATTGTGTCTAGAAACAAACTGGTGGTGATTCCTGCTAGTTTTCCCTTGTCAGCACTGATTTTCAGGAGGCCCTGTTATTATGTGATTTTCTTATTTCCTTTTAGAGTATATTCCGTGTAGTGTTCCATGATAGAAGGCTACAGTACACTGAACATCAGCAGCTGGAGGGCTGGAGGTGGAACCGACCTGGAGATAGAATTCTTGACATAGGTAAGTCAAGAGAATCTTTTGCCCAGGAAATGCCTTGAATTATGGACTGAGAGTTGGTCTTTTTTACTTATTATTTACCTTGATTTAAATGCTTCAGAGGCTCAATTAGCATGAACCTTGGAGTGCTTATTTACTAAGCATAAAAAATTACTTGTGTGATGATATTAAAATTGGAGTTGGAAATATAAACATTTCAGTTCCATAGCAGTTGTATCCATTACTTGATTTTGTTTTTGTTTGTTTGTTTGTTTTAAAAGACGATCAGTAAGGGGATCTTAACCCCTGACTTAGTGTTGTCAGCACCACGCTCTCCCAAGTGAGCCAACCGGCCATCCCTATATAGGGTTCTGAACCTGTGGCCTTGGTGTTATCAGCACCACACTCTCCCAAGTGAGCCACAGGCCGGCCCTTGTTTTGTTTTTTAAGTGTGGTAAAATAAACGTAATATAACATTTACCATTTTAATCATTTTTGAGTACACAGTTCAGGAGCATTTAGTACATGCACATTGTTGTGCAATCATCAGTCCTATCTATCTCCAGAACTTTTTTCATCTTTCAAAACTGAAACTATGGGGCCGGCCCGGTGGCGCACTGGAGAATGTGCTGCCTGGGAGCACAGCGGCGCTCCCGCCGAGGGTTCGGATCCCATGTGGAGACCGGTTCCCGCTCACTGGCTGAGCGCGGTGCGGGTGCGACACCGAGGGTTGCGATCCCGTTACCGGTCAGTAAAAAAGACAAAAAAGGAAAAAAAAAAACAACTGAAACTATGTACCCTTTAAACAATAACTCCCATATCCCCTGCCCCTGGTGTAAGCAGTGTTCTACGTTCTGTCTCTATGAATTGGACTACTCTAGGTACCTCAGATAAATGAATTCATACAGTGTTTGTCCTTTTGTAACTGGCTTCTTTGACTTAGCATAATATTTTCGAGCTTCATCCATGTTGTAGTATATATCAGAATTTCCTTCCTATTTGAGGCTGAATAATATTACATTTATATTTATACCACATTTTGTTTATCCATTCATCCCTTGATAGACACTTGGGTTGATTCCATCTTTGGCTATTGTGAATAATGCTGCTGTGAACATGGGTATACAAATATGTTTGAGTCTTTGCTTTCAATTCCTTTGGATATATACCCAGAAGTAGAATTGTTCAATCATATGGTAATTCTATTTTTAATTTTTTTGAGGAACCACTATATTGTTTTCCACAGGGGCTATACATTTTACATTCCCATCAGCAGTGCTCAAAGGTTCCAATTTCTCCACATCCTTGACAACACTTGTTATTTATTTATTTATTTATTTATTTTTGATAATAGTTATCCTGATGGGTGTGAAGTAGTATCTCATTGTGGTTTTGATTTGCATTTCCCTGATGATTAGTCCCATTGAGCATCTTTTCATGTGCTTATTGGCCATTTGTATATTTTCTTTGGAGAAATATCTATTCAAGTCTTTTGCACAGGTTGTTTGGCTTTGTGTTGTTAAGTTGTAGGAATTCTTTATATTGTGGATATTAACCCCATATCAGATATATCATATGCAGATCTTTTCTCCCATTCTGTGGGTTGCTTTTCACTATATTGATAATGTCCTTGGCACAAAAATTTTAAATTTTGAGGTAATCCAGTTTACCTACTTTTTAAAATGGCCTGTGCTTTTGATGTCATATCCAAGAAATCACTGCCAAATCCAATATCAGGAAACTTTCCCCCTATGTTTTCTTCTTAGAGTTTTATAGTTTTAGGTCTTACATTCAGGTCATGGATCCATTTTGTGTTAATTTTTATATATGGTGCAAGGCAAAAGGTCCAAATTCATTCTTTTGCATGTGGACATACAGTTTTCCCAGCACCATTTGTGGAAAGGATTGTTTTTTCCCCTATTAAGTGGTCTTGCTACCCTTGTCTAAATTCATTTGACCATATATTTGTTTTTTTAATTTTTATTTATTTTTTTATTGAATCAAAATTGATTATACATATTTTTGGGGTTCAACATTGAGATATGTTGACCAAATCAATATTACTAGCATGTATATTGTTACAAATAGGAATTATTCTTTACACGCCTTGTCCAATCTCTTCCTATCCCCCCTTCTTCCCCCCTCCCCCTCTAATTACCCTAGATTTCTTCTCTCCTGAAAGAATAATGGTTACTCTGTGGATTTGTTGCCTAGATGATCTGTACAATATGCAGAGAGGTGTGATCAGATCCCCCAATATTATCATAAAGCAGATGCTGCTTCTGTCATTCTGAAATGGGCTTTTTGGAGAGAAACATCTTGTTCTTTTCTTTATCTCTGCTGGTGACTCTACTTGTGTAGAGTCAGTGCACTCCAGTGGTTGGCGAACCATCTGCATGGTGGTTGTGGCATCTAGCTGCTTTCGCAGCAGCCAGGGTTATGGCGGTGGCTGTGGTGGGCCACCCACATGGAGGTGATGTTTTTGGCATGCTCCTTAGTGCTGGCAGTGTGCCTGGTTGTGGGGTGTGTCTGATCCCCTGGTTGTGGGAGGGGGGGTCCAGTCCCCTTCTCCATGCCTTGATTCTCCGGGCAGGCCTCGAGACTCTGGTGTGGTGTGCCTGGTTGTGGGAGGGGGGTCTGGTCCCTGGATCCATGCCCTGGGCCCCTGGGCAGGGCCCCGAGGCACTGGTAGTGTGCCTGGATGTGGGAGTGGGGTCTGGTCACCTTCTCAATGCCTCAGGTCTCTGGACAGTGCCCCAAGGTGCTGGCGCTGTGTACCTGGTTGTGGGAGGGGGGTCCAGTCCTGAGCTCCATGCCCTTGGCCCCCAGGTGGGGCCACGAGGTGCCAGCAGTGTGCCTGGTTGTGGGAGGTGGTTTTGGTGTCCGTCTCCATGCCTCGGGTCCCTGGGCGGGCCCCAGTGCTGGCACAGTGTGCCTGGTTATGGGAGAGGGGTCCAGACCCCTTCTCCATGCCTTGGGTCCCTGGGCAGGCCCCGAGGCACTGGTGTGGTGTGCCTGGTTGTGGGAGGGGGGGTCTGGTCCCCTTCTCCATGTCTCCGGTCCCTGGGTGGGCCCTGAGGTGCTGGCACAGTGTGCCTGGACTGGGACTGGGGTCTGGTCCCCACCTCCAAGCCTCTGGTTCCCAGGCAGGCCCCAAGGTGCTGGTGGTATGCCTGGACTGAAACTAATTTGTTGTCCTGTGCTTACTTCTAAAATTGGGGAACTTCTGGTAGGAACCAGTATTTGAGTTGTGTGGTTGAGCTAAATTATTGCTTTGCTGCTATTTCCTAGGGAAGGCTTTTTGTGCAGCTCAGGGTTTAATGGTTGACCTTATAGGTACTTCTGGCTCTCCAGAGACCCAGTGGATCTGGGTTGTGTAGAAACTCTGATCTGGGCCTGAGTTTTTTTAATCAAACTGCACCCCATGCAATTCTGCATTCCCAACCAGTCTCCTCTGAGTGGTCCTGTGCTGATTGGGGGGCAGATCAGCTGTCCTTGCTGTGTCCGAGTGTTCTCCTGGTGGGCCTGTCTCCCCCACCACCTGTGCTCCAAACACTTCCCATGGGATGGGCCCTGTGCCGGTCCCTTGTGATGACTCACTGGCCTCTGAATGGCTCCCTTTTTTCAGTTGTTCTGGCTCCTGGCTCCTGGGTGGGTCCACGGGAACCCTATTAGTGGTCTTGCTGTCCTGTGGGCTGCCAAGGTCCTCTTCTCCTCTGCCACCTCCAAGTAACTCCATCTGAAGGGCACAGCTGCAGCTTCTGCAGGCTCCTGCTCCATGCACTCAGCAGTTCCAGCATTAAAGCAGCCATGGCCTGAAATGCTCCAAAGAGTTTTTTCTTTCTCTTATCATGGTTTCTCCTGCCTTCATGAACTCCATAGGTCTCTCCTCCTCTTCCCTTGAGCTCTAGTGGCCCCAGCTTGGCTGATGTTACATTTTTATAGTTGTAAATTGGTTGATTTGTGGGAAAGAGTGACTCTGGGAACCGTCTATTCTGCTGTCTTGACTGGAACCTTGACCATATATTTGAAAACTTACTTCTGAGCTCTCTATTCTTTTCCATTTGCCTATTTTGTCTGTCTTTATATCTGTACCACACTGTTTTGATAAGTGTAGCTTTGTAGTAAGTTTTGATTTAGGAAGCATGAGGCCTCCAACTTTGCTTGTTTTCAAGATTGTTTTGGCTATTTAGGATCTGATACTTTGTTTTGAGTAATATGTAAAGGAGGCCAGGTTTTTCCCCCAATGTGTTGAAAGTTCCTTTATTTTACTAATGCCTGAGGACCAGATTAGTGGTATGTTTTATCTAAAGTGAAGTTCTGGGATTAGAATCTATGTCTTGGTTTGCAGTTTAGGTTTTTTTCTACTACTGTGCTACACGTGGATTTGATATGAAAATTATCAATTACTTATACAACTACCTGGCTTGTTCACTCTTTTATTCACTATTCAAAAGGCACTGTGCTTGTTCAATCTCAGTAATCAAAGAAATATGGATTAAAATGACATATGGTGTAGAGGGAACCAAATCAGACATTATTTTTTTTTTTTTTTCCTTTTTGTCTTTTTTCGTGACCGGTAACGGGATCGCAACTCTCGGTGTCATGCCCGCACCGCACTCAACCAGTGAGCGGACCGGTCTCTATATGGGATCCGAACCCTCGGCGGGAGCGCCGCCGCACTCTCAAGCGCTGCACTCTACCGAGTGCGCCACCGGGCTGGCCCAGGAAGGATCTTCATAAATACACCTGTAGTCTCATTTCCTGAACATACTTTTAATCCCCAAATTTGTATCTTTGATCTCCATTTGGTTAATATCTTCTATCGGTAAATAGCCGTTGTTAAACAAATTTAAGTACCACTAATTTTACCTGAGAAAACACTTTTTCTCCCACAGATGTCTTGATATCCATATGATAAATTGACCTTAGAATAAATCCAACACAAGTAATACTGCGAAGTGGACCCACTTAATGCTTTCTTGTTGGAATCATTGATACCAAAACAATAGCATAGTTACTGCACAGTTGTAACAATAAATAACATCTCCTGGGCTTATCTTCCCAGTTTGAATATTAATAGGAGAAGTTAAAGAATGATATTTGAGTATCTGCCATGTGGAATTTAAAGCAGAATTCTACTAAAACCTATTAATTTTTGCTTTTCTCTTGAGTATAAGATTTGTTACTGTGTTATAGGATTATTTGATGACTTGGTAAGTCAGCATCAACCTTCAGGCTAAATTTACCTAATTTTATCTGTTATGTAATGCTTTTTGCCTTTATGTAGACACTTTGCTTCACCCTTCTACACCAGTCCTCTTAATGTGCTTCTAACAGTAACACTAATATTAAGATTATAGGTGAAAGAGAATATAAATTACAATTTTCATGATAGTAGAGCTAGTGTGTAGACTTAATCCATATTTAAGTAGAATTTTGGCAGATTAAAAGGAAATTGCCTTTATTTATTATTATTATTTTTTTTTAAGTATTTTATTTTATTTTATTTTTTAATTTTTTTCCTTTTTGTCTTTTTTCGTGTCCGGCAGTGGATCGCAACCCTTGGTGTTGCGCCCGCACCTCGCTCAGCCAGTGAGTGGGAACCGGTCTGTATGTGGGATCCGAACCCTCGGCGGGAGCGCCGCCGCGCTCCCAAGCGGTGCACTGTAGCAGTGCGCCACCAGGCCGGCCCTATTTATTATTTTTTTAAATTAATTAATTTATTTTTTATTTTATTTTTTTTTGTCTTTTTTCGTGTCCGGCAACGGATCGCAACCCTCAGTGTCGTGCCCGTACCGGACTGGGACCGGCAATGGGATCGCACCCCTCGGTGTTGCGCCCGCACCTCGCTCAGCCAGTGAGCGGGAACCGGTCTGTATGTGGGATCAGAACCCTCGGCGGGAGCGCCGCCACATTCCCAAGCGGCGCACTGTAGCAGTGTGCCACCGGGCCGGCCCCAAGGAAATTGCCTTATTTTTAAAACTTCTTGAAGTGGAAAAAGGTACTTCTTTAAGTCAATTTTAACTCTAATCAAAACTTTTTTATTGGTAACAAAGAAGTTTAGGGTGTGATACACAAAAAATCTTAGTAACTAGGCATGAATAATATAAGAATCAGTGCTTTCTTATTTAAAACCAAGTAGCCCTCAGAATTGTTCAGTCTTTACCGTTTTGTTTCTCAGATATCCCAATGTCTGTGGGTATAATCGATCCTAGAGCTAATCCAACCCAACTAAATACAGTGGAGTTCCTGTGGGACCCTGCAAAGAGGACATCTGTGTTTATTCAGGTAAAGCATTATAGATGGGGTTCTAGTTATGAAGACCATCCTTTCCTACCAGTTTGTTTCTTAAAGAATAAAGCATGTTAAATTTGAAATCTTTATAGGATTCTAGCCCGACTTTGAAGTCCAGTCTCCTCAACATGTGCCTGAGAGCATTGATGAGTTTGTGAATTGCTCTTCTAATTACCCTAATTTATTTATTTTTATCTCCCCAAAATGCTTGCTAATGGTTGCAAATATATCATTCTTTGGTTATACTGTAACTTGCCTAACAATTATTTAGAATTTAGATTGACCTAATCTTTTACTGTTACCTTCAAAGTTATTTTGAACATCTTTATATTTATAATTTGATTTGCATATCTGATTATATCCTTTTGGTAGATTCCTTGAAAATGCTTATTTATAGTAAGGATAGCTAATAGTTTATTGAGTACTTAATGTGAGATAGTCACTGTGTTAAGTAAACATTCTGTATACATGATTTTAGTACTTTTCAACAATAATCCTGTGGCATAGGAATAGTTTTTGAGGCTTAGAGAGGCTAAATAACTTAACCAAGCTAGTAAGTAGTCAATCAGACAGGGTTTCACTATTAAGATTTACCAGTCTTAGACTGTATGTGGTAGCCAAGCAAATCTTTTTTCCCCCTTATTGCTCTGAGCTTTCATACTTACTGTTTTCCCAGCACGGATGGTGCCTCCTCTTTCTAAAATCTACCTTAAAGTCAAGGAAATTTTCACTAACAGAAATAATTTCTCTTTTGTTAACTCTATTCGGGTATTCTCTGAAGCAGATAATAAATTTAGTTCCTCATAGTAACTTCTGTTAGCATTAGATCTGTACATTTATTCTGTTTGCATTTGTAAATCATTTAAGTTTTTCTCATTTTCTACATTACACTGTAAGTTCTTTAAAATCAAAAAAAAAAGGGAGGAAAAGTTTTTTGTAGGTGTTCATAATGCCTATAAAGGTTTTACTATTAGTAGTTGTTCAAAAAATATGAGGGTACTGCAAAAAGTTCAAGGAAAAATAGAATTGAAAGATGATACAAATATTTCTATAAACTTTTTGAAGTACCTTTGTATTACCAACTGGTTGGCTAGCTAGTAGCACTGAAACCTTGATGTATTCTTTTCAGGTGCACTGTATTAGCACGGAGTTCACTATGAGGAAACATGGTGGAGAAAAGGGGGTGCCATTCCGAGTACAAATTGATACCTTCAAGGAGAATGAGAATGGGGAATATACTGAGCACTTACACTCAGCCAGCTGCCAGATCAAAGTTTTCAAGGTATTCCTGGGCAATGTGCTGGCCCTTGGATTCTTTTTCTGTATCTTTTTATTTTAAGATTAGTTACCAAGTCCCAAAGTCAACTTTTCTGTTTTTAAAAACTGTGAAAACTCAGTGTAAACTAGAGTCATTGAAATAATTACTGAGATGCCTGGTAAAGAAATTTATGCAGGGACTGGCATGGGATAATGGGAACTTGGAAAGGGGGCGAGAGGCAAAAATGTGCTTATTGAAATGAACTTATTGAAAGCTCTTAAAGCCTGTTGAAGTTACAAGCTCTTGTAAAGCCTACAAAAATTATGGAAAGTTGATTGATTTGGTTACATTTGTACTTGATCTTCTTTCCTTATTTTGGTCTTTATTTTTATCACGTGGATAAATATGTTCTCACTGCAAGAGATTCAATAATACAGAAGTATTCAGAGCACAACACTGAAATCCCCCTTTAACACTCTTACCCTGACTCCCCAATCTCTCCCCAGAAGTAAGCACTGTCATAATTTTGTATATATCCTTCTAGTTACCTTCTATGCTTTTATACACATGTGTAGATAGGTATACACATATTTTCTTTTCTGTGAAACATAAATGAGATTATACTGTATGAATTGTTTGAGACTTGATTTTTTTCAGTTAACTATGTGCTTTAGAGATCTTTCAAAATCAGTAGCTGCAGATCTGTCTTATTCTTTTTTAACTCCATGAAACATTTAAATTTCCTATTTTCAAACTTAGATGGGGTAATGCATCTTGTCTTTACATCATTCTACATACATCTTTGTTTCATATGTGAATATTTAAGTTTTTGAAGTAATATTGTTAGGCCAAAAGGTGAGTACTTGAGTTTAAAACAAAATATTTCTCATTTTAGCCTAAAGGTGCAGACAGAAAGCAAAAAACAGACAGGGAAAAAATGGAGAAACGAACACCTCATGAAAAGGAGAAATACCAACCTTCCTATGAGACAACTATACTCACAGAGGTGAAAGGATTTCTTCTGGTGACAATTTTAGTCCATTATTTTCACTGTTAAAAAGAAAAGCCCGTCACTTCTAGCCTGGTCAAAATTTACTTCTCTTGAGCACGTTCTGTCTTATTTATGGGGACCTCTTGAGGAATTAAGATTTATTAATCAAGATGTGCTATGCAAGTAGCAATGTTTTAGTGGAACACTAGGGTCAAATATGCTTTTTCATTATCTAAGTTATTCTTTGTTTTTAGTGTTCTCCATGGCCTGAGATCACATATGTCAATAATTCCCCATCACCTGGCTTCAACAGTTCCCACAGCAGTTTTTCTCTTGGGGAAGGGTAAGTCTGAGAAATGAAATTGGGTTGTGTTTGTCCTAAATATGTATTCTTTCATTACCTTTCCATAAGCAAGATCTTTCTAAATCAGTAAGTACTTCTATTTGACCAGTCTTTGATAGCTTTATATATTAACAGAGGTCTGGATTATTTTCAGAAGAGACTGAGAGAGTTTTATGTAACCCTTTCTCTTCCTCCTCCCTCTCCTTTTCCTCCTCTTCATCTTCATCTACTTCTTTTTCCCCCATTAGAAAATACTATTTATTTTAATTTTTAGTGATTTTTTTTTGCTTTTTGCTTCTCCCAATTACTGCTCATCTTGTGGTTTTTTCACTTCCTGATCATACTTGTACCAGAGAGTGGTCGTTGGGAATTGGAAACATAGTTGTACAAACAATAAAATCTATTTTGTTACCTGTTAAGGATGCTTCTAACACCTAATTATTATGAATCTTTGACAATTGTGGAAAGAAGGTTGAAGATGATGGTTAAAATGAAGTTTTGGAATTATCTATCGGATTCATTTAATCTTGCCTTATTGTCTTTTACAATCGGAGCTCATTGAAAGGTGGTTCACATGCCTACTCTAGTTAAAAAAAAACGTAGCTGTCTTATAGTCCTAGCATTTAACATGAATTCCACATAGCCATGTTGAAACTTGAAATAGGCTACCAAATGTGTGAGCACATTGTTTAGTTGGAAAATTTGTTTTTGGGTTTTTTAGGCTCTGTGTTCGACCTACTTCTTAAAGGGTTTAATTAAAGTAACTTAAATATTCAAAACATAACAATTAAGAATAAAAATAGGTATTAGTTACAGAAGGAATACATATAAATAGGGCCCTGAGATAAGTTAATTACTGAGTTTGAATACCAAATTTGAATTTTGCAGCTAAGGCTGAAAAAAGAAAAAATCCTTTTTGTAAGAAAACAATCTCTTACTATTCACATGGATGATGCAGTCTATTTATAGGTAATTTTAAATATTATATAGGGCTTAAGGGTTGTGTTTTTAAGTTTTTATCTTCTCTTTTTAAAATTTTTAAATTTATTATTTATTTTATTATTTTATTTTTTTAATAATTTTATTTTGTCGGTATACAATGATGTTGATTATTGTGGCCCAGTACCAAAACCTCCCTCCCTTTTCCCTCTCCTCCCTCCCACCCAACAATGTCCTTTCTGTTTGCTTGTCGTATCAACTTCAAGGAACTGTAGTTGTTATGTCTTCTCCCCCC